ACACACACACACCAACACACACACATACACAAATATACTGACACACACACATTGACACATGTACTGACACACACGCACACTCACACAGAGAAACCTGTTCCCCCAGAGCCCCTGCATTGTGATGAGCCTGAATTCCTGCTCCCACACTCAGACTGTGCAGTGAGCCACCTCTTACCCATGAAATAAGCGGTGATCTTACACATGGCCTGCCCAAAGATGAAGTCTCCCAGCAGGTTGGGGATGAGGGTGAATGGCATGCAGAAAAGAGCAACCATCAGATCACTAAGGGCCAGCGAGAGCAGGAAAGAGTTGGTGACCGTCTGCAATCTCTTGTTGAGAATGAGCACCAAAATAATCATTGTATTTCCGAACACACTCAGGAGGAAGATGATTGAGTACAGCAGGATCCTGACGGTGTAATCAAGGTCTGCAAAGACAGAGAAGGACCAGGAATCAAACAGCTTGAAATAAATGAAACAGAACATTGTCATGGGGAGCTAACAGAGTCTCCTCCGCCCAATGCCATGATCATTCACCATCAAACACAAAACCCACAGCCTCCCAGCTCCTGCAGCGACACCCAACCTGAATAACCACTGCACCAGTCTTATACAGGCAAGGCAGCAGCTAACTGTGTGCACAGCAAGATCCCAAGCACAGTGATGCTTTCCCCAGCTTCCCATTGTGCAGGACAACAGTGGGGGTCCCACCAGCTGTTCCTCCGTTACAGCCTCAGCAACACTGACCCCCACCTGAGAGAGTGCAGTTGTAACAGGAACAGCAGCAGAAAGAGGCGGTTTAGACCCGTGACCCCGCTGTGCTGATCCAGATCGTGGCCCCCACACCAGCACCACACTGACACCTGAAACCAACACTAACACCATCTACACTTCCCACTGCCAACATAATCAAATCCCCCTCAGATCCTGGTTATACTCTCTTCCACCCTCAAACCCTTCCACACACACATTCACAAACAGCTTCTTCCTTGCAGTTACCAGGTTTTTGAAGGGACCTCATTAATGTTAATGTTGATCTCTCACTGCACCTTCTCAGCAGCTGTAACACTGTACCCTGCACTCTGTGCTGTTACCCTGATGCACTTGCATTGTATGATCAACAGGTAAAGCATCTAAGGCAACACTTTTCACTGCACCTCGGTACGTGTGATAGTAACAAATCGAACTAAACCAAAGTATCCAAATAAAAACCATCAACCCCAGGCTCATGGTTAATATTCAAGCGCTGAGATTTAACACTGAGAGGGCCATTGAAAACATTCATCTCCATCTCAGTGAAGAAATTTCTCCACATCCCAGTTACAAATCCGACAG